ACTTCACACCCCCTTCAGATCTTCATCCCCATTTTGCACCCAAGTATTTCTAGTTTTCCTGAATAACATCTCTATGATTCAGCTTTGCCTCCACATTCACTCATTGATCTCTCTCCAAGCTTTGATTATCTCATATCTTGATAGACACCTCAATTAATGTACTATTACTCTATTTTTATACATTCAAACTCTTTCTGCAAGATAATTTTCATGGTTGCTTGCATTGGCTGTTTTATCCTCTTTTTGCCTTCCCTTACTGACTCCTCGCACATGTTTCACTGAGATCCTGACCCATCCAAGAGATTCCTAAGCACTACACGAATTAAAAAGCAGTAACAGACCAAAAACCTTGAGAATTACATTGTTGAACAGGTGGCAACATTACACAAACCCAAACAAATATGGGGCAAGGAAACTGTGATGCATCTGAAGAGTCTCATCAAGCCTGGAGAAAGCACAAAATAAGACAAGGCAAAGGAAACAATGATCACTAAACACACACGTACACTGGGCTGTGCAGAGATCAAACACGGGAAGATCTGTGAAATACAAACCAAATGTGCACTAAACCCCATTGTGAGCACTGTCATAAAATAAACATTAATCCTTTACGTTCTAAAAGCACTCAAAATTGAGGTAGGGCCAGAACTAAAAGTTGGAGTTTTGCAAATTAAATCAAAATACAAATTGTGACAGATTTGGGGGCAATAGGATTGACAGTGGGAACTGTTCAGTCATGACTCAGAGCAATGAGCCTCACTGAGCAGTATCATGGGGACTTCAGCCCTACAAACCTCTCAGTGATGAATTTTTGCCTGTACACAGACAGTCCCCCCTAACCTGGAGGGATCTGATCCACAGATGCTAGCTGAGTTGCCATATATCAAACTCTATTAAAGGCCTCATAAAAGAAAAACACTGATGTTAACAAGGCTCTTTCCACTGATTTGAATGGGCTTTGGAGTGAGGCCTATACAAACAAGGATGGGATTAGAAAATGGAAATATATATATACACACAAAAAATGTCAATCCAACTGTTTACCTTCCAAGGATGATCTAGTATCACTTAATTTATGAGTCATTTCAAGGGCAAGGAGGCAGATTGATGCTTTTAACTGTTATCCGAATCAAGTATTTGCAAATATTGATTCTTACAGTATTTTAACCCCCCCAAAGCTTACAATCGCACTGGCATCAACAGGATTTCTTTCTACATCAATATTTCACAGATTGCAAATATCTATATTCTCACCACCTTCAGTAATTAGCTTAAATAAATTGAGTCCATGTCATCTGTGTTGTGCTGTGTCCTTCAGCCTGCTCTGTTTGATTTCCACTTTGATTCAAAGCTAGGGCTGATCAGTACCAGCTGCTCAGCCAAAGGACAGATCACACATTCCCATTCCTCCTCTTTCTTCATCCCAACTCCCAGCCAGACTATTGTTTGTTACAACTAATTAATCCAGCATGCCCTGGCTGCCAGCAAGCCTCACAACCCCCAAATTTTGGTATTTACTGCATATCCAAAAAATTAATTCCAGTTCTGGATAGATGTATAAACACATAGATGTATCCATACATGCACAACACACATATTTATCCAGACACATTTCATGGCTATCTTGTTTGACAATTGCTATTATTATTTCTAGCTGTTTTTAGCATCCAAATGTGAGAAAATATAGGTATGTATTTCACAGAACTTTCATAGAATCAACCAGGTTGAAAAAGACCTCAAGGATCATCGAGTCCAACCCTACCGTGGTTACTAGACCATGGCACTAAGTGCCACATCTGAAAACCTCCAGGGATGGTGAATCCACCACCTCCCTGGGCAGCATATTCCAATACCTGATTACTCTCTCCATAAAAAGTCTCTTCCTAGTATCTAAATTAAACCTCCCCTGGCAGAGCTTGAGTCTGTATTTAGGCATCTCTGTTAGGTTAGACTTACAGATCTTCATTTCAAACTCACCCTTGACATGGTGCTAAGCATCAGAGTCAGTGCCCTGACAGAACCTGGGGTCTGCCTGCCCTTGGGTGAGGAGAAAGGAGAAATTTCAAAGACTACACCCAGAACTTCAGCTCAAGTTGCCTCACACTTCCTGCTAAAACCCTCCTGTTTTCACTTATATTGTAACAAATGGTAACCATTGTCCTTGTTGGGTGTTTGCCTTAGGGCTTATTATGCCCACTGCAGTTTCAATTGTTCAGCTGCTCCCAAGGAAATCCAATTAATTTTCCTGTATTAAAACAAGTCAAACAGCCGCTTTGTTGAGTTGGTGTCAAGCATCCATGTGCTGGATCAAGCAGCAGGAGTTTGGTGCTGAAGATCAGATGTTGGTTGTACCTCTGGCTATTGTTTTAAAAACTCATAGGCTTTAAAACCTCTTATTGCACATGGCTAGTGAGAGTTTGGAAGTTCAGCTGTGTCCAGTGAGCACAAGCTGGCTGTGAAAGGAGGGACTGAGCCATTCCCAGCTGGTTTTGGTGGTGTATCATGAGCCTCTCCCCTTCTCCCCTTGACTTTGTGCTTGGCCATGTAGAGGAAGAGAAGGAGGCTGAGGAAGGACCTTACCTGATTGAATGCAGAAATAAAATGCTTACTGGTCTCAGACAATCAGGTAAGGTGGGAAGTGAAAACCAGGAAATTAGAGGATGAATCCTGCATAGTCACAGAATAATAGAATCATCAAGGTTGGAGGAGTCCTCTAAGATCACTGAGTCAAACCATTAATTGGCTGACCACACTGGAGTGTTTTCTGGGGAAGGAGGAAGTCTTTTTTTTTTCCTTTTCAGTTCCATAATATCCTATGTAGAAAAATGTATGTGATTCCATCTGCAAAATCTAACATCCTCAGAAAATGATCAAAGGCAATTCCATGTAAGACCTCAGTGTGCACGCCTAGGAGCTCAGCTAGAGATAGTTTGAATTTTATAGTGCTGTGACTATAGTGCATAAAACAAACCAAGTTAGGAAGGGATGAGTGTTCCAAGGGATGGAAGTAGTTATTGGTATGTCTGCTGCCTTCTCTGCACCTGTAAACTCTCAGAGATTGGGTATGATTCTCATAACTGTCATGTTTGGTGGAGTAAGTGTGAAGCCATGGTGCTGGGGAAATTGGGGAAAAGGCAACGGGGAAGGTGAAATCAGAGCTGAACTGCAGAACATTCCACTGCAGGATGGAAATCTGTATTGTCTCCACACAGATGAGGAAGAAAAAGCCTGCTAGCTAACTAGGTAGCTTCAAAATCCATGTGTTTCCCATGGTCATAGAATCATGGAATGGTTTGTGTTGGAAAGGCTCTCAAAGACTTAAAGACAATTCCAACCCCCTGCCATAGGCAGGGACACCTTCCACTAGCCCAGGGTACTCCAAAACCCATCCAACCTGGCCTGGAACACTCCCAGGGATGGAGCAGCCACAGCTGCTCTGGGCAACCTGTGCCAGTGCCTCACCACCCTCATAGGGAACAATTTCTTCCCAATATCCAATCTACCCCTGCCCTCTGGCAGTGGGAAGCTATTTCCCCTGGTCCTGTCACTATCTTCCCTGCCCTCCTGATTCAGTCTGCGGAGGTGGAAAGCAGTGCTTTTTTTTTCTTAGTTTAAAACTACCCAAACCAACACATTAAAACAAGAACAACTCTCTCAGATGATCTAATGTAGCCTAAAATGAGTTAATAAACCTATTAAGCCACTCCTAGAGATGGTCTGGGTAGTATCATCTGCTTGGGAAGCTGCTGCCTGGCCACTGGCCCATGAGGGAGCCACGGACACAGATGTCTCGTGTCTCTGCTCCCCCAGGCAAGGTATAGCTGCCATCACCCTTGACTTTTGTCTTGAGTCACATTGCCAAGCCACACTGCCCCACAAATGGTCATCCAGATTCTAGAAATTCTATGTTCTTATCACTACTTATTAGCATAAAAGCCCATTTCCTTGCTAAGCAAATCCTAATTAATTGCTGTCAGTGTTAAGATTAAAATAGTTTGTTTAGTATCTGCTAGATGTAACTGGGAAAAGTGAAAGCTACTCTACAACCCTTGATCCTCTGTTTTGCTGTGGCTTGAAATCACAAACTTAATGCCATATACTCCACTTGTTAACATCAACTTTCCTTCTAAAGCTAGGAGTTCAGCTGTAGGGCAGTGGGATTTGGCCCCAAATTTTCCAACTCTAAAGTTCATGGACCAAACTCACTTTTAAGTATCCCAAACCAATAAAGTACCTACCAGACAGTCATGGAACACAGAAATTACTCTTCTTTCAGGGTGGTGCAATTAGCTCCTAATGGGAACAACTAGGTGGGAAAAGCTGATCAAGTTTCTGCAAATTTTAATAATTGCATATTTTCATCTAATTAAATAAAGAAAATAGAAAGTTGAATTATGGCCTTTTTATTAAAGCCATTTTTGTTCCTGTTTAATTTCCTTACTTTACAGGTCAATAAATCAATTGAGCTTCTTAAGGCTTAGCCTTTTACAGGAAGATCTCTGTTTACATATCTTCTTCTGAAGGGCTTCAGAGTGAAATCTCAAAGAAATTAACTGGTTTATAAGTAAAATTAATTCAGAAGTCTCTCTTAGATTAAAGTGATAAGGGATAAAGTAAGGTGTCACTCTATAAAATCACCTTTTCCTATGGAATCTGTTTCACAGAGACACAGAACAGCAGCTTTCACAGCAAGCCAGTTGTCAAGTGTAATTAAGAATAATTAAGCAGGAAAAGTCCATCTACTAGCCAGAGTGCAGCAGAATTAATGCATTGCCACTCTGAAATATTCTCTGTACTTGATGAGGAAAGGGTTAAACAGTCTGTAAAAGTTCTGCAGATCTGTTCTGTGGGATATTAAAAATTAATGTGTTATCATCATCATCACCACAACCACATTTAGTGTTATTAGTACCGAGGCTGGATATTCATTAATGTTAAAAGTCACAGTCAGTGTGAGATTAAGCAGACTCCAAAGTCTGGAGGAGGAGGTGGAAAGTTACCTGGTGGCGTTTCAAGAATGGATTTGCCTTTTTTGTTGTTTTTCTTCGCTTTTAACTCTTTCCTGCTGGGTTTGAACCCTGGGTGCTCCTCCGTCTCTGCAGCACGGATGGGTCCTGCCCCTCCGGGCTGCTCCGTGAAAGGAAAAAATTCTTCACCAGGATAGGGAAAGGAATAATAATGATCCCTGTTGGTAATTTCCTGCAGGTAATAATCCTGTTCGTCCATGGGTACAGCCTGGGACACATCCCCCAGCAGTGCCAGCCCCAAGGTGCAGAGAGCGAGGCAGAGTTGAGAAGAACATGAGCCTTTCTTGCCACGGGCAATCATTATCCTTTTGCTCTTGCAGGAATCTCCTCTGCGAGTCTTGGAACTTGATTTTGGAAGGAGAAAAAGCCGAGTTTTGGCAGCCGGGAAGCCGCTGCAGGAGAGGCAGAAGTGGCTGTGCTGGTTCGCCGAAGTTGGCGTTCGGAGGCTGCGAGGGAGGGAGAGGGGGAAGGACGAGGGATCCTGGGGCTCAGCAGCAACACACACGGCCACGCTCCCTGCCCCGCCGCCTGCCAGGTGGCATCTCCAGCACTCTGAACTTGTTGCTTTTCTTCTCCTGCCTTTCCCTGGTTCCTTTCTTTCAAGCGCAAGAGTGACACCAAAGTTTCCACTAACTCCCCAAACTGTTCTTTTCGCCTTCCCGCACGCTGTGCGGATCCAGGAGGGAGTTTATTGGAAGGAAAGCAAACTTGGCAGTCAGCCTTCACCTCCCAGACTGTGTCCAGAGGGTTTCCTTCCCCCAGGAGATGCTGTGCAGATGGGGTAGGCACACAGAGCCTGTGGCTGGCAGGGGCAAGAGAGAAGATGCATGGGCTGTAGTATGGAGCAGTGGCAAATAATCCTCATTCCATAGATATTATGCTCTATTCTCTTTTGTGGAATGGTGTTTTTTTCCTTTTAGCTTTTAAAAAGATCCCTCTCCAGCACCAATCTCAGCCTCTATTGTTTTTATTAGTTTACATATATATGATATATACTTTATATATATAACTTAGCTTGTAGATATAAAAATATCTTTTAGTTTATATACTTATACTAGTTTATAGTAACTTGCAGTTTATTGTTTAAATAATAGAGTTGTATATAAGCTTAGAGTCTGTAGTAACTTAGCTGCAGCAACTCATAAGTTATCCATAACTAATATAACTCAACACATATCATGTGCCAAGTTATAAGAAGTTTCTCCTTGGCTATATGGCAGCTCCCTGGACTCAGTCCAGCTGAAAAGCAGGAAGAGCATCAGTGGCCCTTTTTCTCACTCTTCTTGGAATGATCCTGACATTTGTTGTCTCTGAAACATCCTCCTAGCAGATCAGGACGTGTTGAGCTCACAGCGACACACACGCAACCCAATGTCATTAATGAAATCAATTTGTCTGAGAATAAAATCTTCCATCTTTCTCAGACCTCTAAAACAACCTTCAGTGCTGAAGGAAATGTGCAACGGTTGGCTCACATGAAATGTGAATTCTGACTTCTGTGGTGGAAAGATCAGATTATATTTTCATCGTGTATATTGTATTTCTTGCCATGGTCCAGTCAGCTGGGAGAAAATATTACATCTGTTACCCCAGTCTGTACTCTGCCTTTGTGCTCACATTTTTTTGTGTGTTTCTCATAACTTTAACACCATAATAAGCATCATTGCATATCTTAGTACCTGTATCTTTTGATATATTTGGTTTCCAGTCCGTAGGAGATCCTGTCCCATATATGCAGTGATCATCTTTGCTTTCTTAGCTGTCATCCCTAAAGGAATGTAGTGACTATATTATGTCTGTTGTCCTTCCTGTTAGGAAAATGCAATTCTATTTTTATCCTTAATTTGATGTTGTTTAATCTGAAAACTATGCATTTCTCTTTGCATATATATATAATTTCTTTATATATAGGATTTTTCATTTCCTAAAAGAGGAATAAAATATACTTTGTTTCTTCACTGCTTTGCTGAATTTTATATATATATATATGCGTATATATGTTTTTACTTTCATTGGATAAACAGCTTCTTCCCATCAAACTTTTCAGATCATTTTATGTGCAATAAATGGCTTTGTCACCTCTGCCACTGGGTGCAGTGTGGGAGCTAAGTCCCACTGGCTCTGGTGTGTGATGCAGACAGTTTGTTCCCTGTACTCAGCAGAAGGCTGAATATCCTTGATATTCCCTCAGCTATTTCACAGATGTTCTTACTTTGTTTTCCTTTTCCAGAATATCCAGTCCTCTCCCACTTTGTCCTAACTTCTGAGGGCAGAGCACAAGCTGCAGCAAATGTGTATAATTTTTTTACCACTACTCACTCTTCTGCAAATATTGTGAACATTCACACGCCTAGAGAAGTAATAGAAGAATAAAGTTTGCCATGACATCATTAATGAACTTGGATTTTTGGTAACTAAAGGAGCTTTAGCTGCAAATCCTTATTTAACTCGTTGCTGTCGTCAAAGACACATAGAAACAGAAAATTATTTATATTTCCAAGCATAATAAAGAGTATTTTCATAAATTATCAAGTCAAGTGTACATTAACTAAAGACCTGAGGAATGTGATTTGGGGAAATTTTACATTATTTGCATTTTGCAACTTTACACGAGTACATTTCAATAGTGTGTGTATGTAAAGGTCATGTATTTTCTCTCCTCTACAGCACCTGTGCTATAAAGAGACAACTGTGTGGGCTCCTTAAAAATTTATTCTATATATTATGACAATGTCTCATATTAGATTTGGACCTCTTTGCTTGGTGAGTTTGCAGAGTAGCTGTATGTGTATCTAAATGCATGACTATAGCTACATATAATATAGCAGCAAATCTCCTGCCAATAGCAGAGCTGGACTTATGTAATACATATTAAAAATACATTTTAGTGACACAAATATCCACCCAAATGTTACCCACGTCACCCACCACAATCTTATCACTGTCTCAAACTACCTCAAAGGAGGTTGTAATCAGGTGGGGGTCGATCTCTTCTCCCAGGTAACAAGTGAGAGGACAAGAGGAAACAGCCTCAAGTTTTGCCAGAGGAGGTTTAGATTGGATATTGGGGGAAAATTTCTTCACTGCTAAAGTTATCAAGCATTGGAACAGGCTGACCAAGGTGATAGTGGAGCCACCATCCCTCTAGGGATCTAAAAACATGTAGATGTGGCACTTGGGGACACGGTTAGTGGTAAGCTTGGCAGTGCTGGGGGAGTGGTTGGACTCGATAGTCTTAGAGAGCTTTTCCAACCTGAATAATTCTAGGAATTAGACACATTGCTGTGTGTTCATAGTGTATGGCCATAGGTGTTGGTGGCAAAATTAGGGGCCAAATCATGTACCAGCAGTGTTTCAGCTCATTTTCATCTCATAATTTCTGAGTTTGCTGGCAGATTCCAAGCAAATGCATCAAAGCAATGAACCCCTCAATGAAGCTTCCATGCATCGCAGTTACCTGAGAGTCCCTGCAAGGTCCTCCCCACCAAGTGTTCTGAGGTGAAAGGCCACCACATGAGCTCACACACTGCTGGAAACAGGAGAAGCCACGCCCACCTGTGCTTATGGGGTCATCTGAGCCAAAATAGAAGCTTGGTGAAACATTTGCAGTCAGCCAAAAGGATGTATCCAGCAGGACACAGGGAGGCACTCAAGAAACAGCAGGTTTGCTCACACACCTTCAGTTCCACAGATGAGAACTTTGCAGAACATCAGGCAGTACCATAACCATTCCTCTACCTTCTGCAGTCACTGCAAATAACTCCTTCTTGTCCCTGTCTGTACTTACCTTAAGAAAGATCTATTCAGTCAAACTTACCTATCAATATCTATTCCTGGGTATCCACATCTGTCTGTGACCAGCTCCCCTGTGTTTCACTCTCTTGAATTTTAATGCTTTCTGTGGGTATGTGTATGGATGCACAGCTGCCCCTTCCAGAGCTGCCTCTGGTTTTGGAGTGTGCATGAATACAGCCAGCTGGAAAAACACAAAAATCTGCCTCTAAGCAGAATTTTGCTCCAATTCGCCATAAGATGTTTTGATTAGTTTTTATCCGTCAGCATCCTAGAAACATACAACTTGCAGGAAAGGAGGTGTTTTTCTTCTTAGAGTGGCACAGGAGTATTAAGTTCACTAAAGGCTCAGATATTTTGGGCCTAAGGGCTGTACCTTTTCTTTTGCCTGTGAAGTATCACAATAGCTTGTAAAAACTTGCAGTTGATGTGGAAGGAGATAAAGCAAACTCATACTTTTGTAGAACAACTGTAACTAAAGTTATCCTCCCCTCCTGAACTGATGCCAGTGACAGTGTGTAAGTCATTCCACACTTTGCTTCAAATCTTTGTCCCACTGAAGTGAAACACAGCGTGCTGTAATCTGCAAATGAGCAGGTTTTCTCCCTCTGTTCCCCAAAAGGATTTATTTAATAGGTGATGGTTTACCCTCTAAGCTGGGTTAGCACTTCTCAAGCCATGTATTTTGAGCCAATTTTAACAACACCCCTGGAAGAACAGGCACTCCCAGCTCTTCCCTGCCCCTAGTATCCTCCCTTCTAGGGAAGGTTTAGATTGGATATTAGGGGAAATTTCTTCATGGAAAGGGTGATCAAGGATTGAAACAGGCTGCCCAGGGCAGTGGTGGAGTCACCATCCCTGGAGTGATTTAAAATTTGGGTAGATGTGGTACTTGAGGACATGGTTAGTGGTGGCCTTGGCAGTGCTGTGCTAATGATTGGGCTCAATGATCTCAGAGATCTTTTTCCAGTCTAAATGATTCTATGAAGCTCAGATTCAGGAATGCATTTTTCACTGAGAAGATGTAAAGTTGTATGTATAAGCACAGTCCTTGAAAGAGATCTTAATTTATATTTATACTGCACCATCAATTATCACACATTCAACAATTCAACTTCAAACAGTTTAGTAGTGACTCCTGCAACTTCTCCTTTGGAATAAGTCCATAATTTTTTACAATCAGAGTAAAGCTTTGTGGTTGGAAAGAAAAGACAAAGAAATAAGTGTGTCTGTTTCTTTGCCATTCCAGGGTAACTCTCTGAGGTAGCACATAAGGTTTCTATATGATTTGGCAACAAAATGACTCTAAAAATAACTTTCCTTCTGAACACCAGTGAAGTTTCTGTTCCTTTGTACTTCATACCTGGAGTAAATCATGAAACACATGGAGCAAGGAAAGAGACTTAC